AAAAAAAAAAAAAAAAAACTAGCGTGCAGCATCTGCTTAACCATAATCTCTAACTGGCCAATTTCATCACTATCTCAGCAGCTGTGAAATGATACATTTAGTTCCACACAATTGTTTTTTGGTACTCTGAATATAGAAAGGATTGTGCTTTAGACCAGTGATTTTCAACTAGGGGTCAAGGCCCACAAAGGGGGCCTTAGTGAGGAAGGGGGGAGTGGACAATTTATTAGAAAGCATAGAAAAAATACAACATTGCTAAATCTAGGCCTTTGCGGTAGCCTATGTTGAGTTTGCAGAACAAGTATAAGAGAATTATCATAATCTGTGTTGGGGGGCCCAAATGTTTTCCTGGACACAGGGGGTTCTTGGATAAAAAAGGTTGACAACCACTGCTTTAGATCGACATACATAAGGAGTTCCTTAGGTACGGTAGGAGAATGAAACAAACAAGCAGACAGTTCAAGCAATGTGCAGTTAAAAACACCTCCTGATAAACGAAATGTGTCTTTTTGATAGACACATTATTTTGTCCATCTGGCTACAGTGTTTTAGTTGTGTTCTGCTGTAGTAATTTATTAGACTGTAATTATGTAGCTGCTCATGTGTATTCATCAGCAGCCTGGATGTATTTTTAAAGGCAGCAGTGTAATAGTGTGTGCTGTGTGATACTGGATACTTTGTTCACTGAATTAATTGCTAGGTTGTGAATTACAGAACACGCCTGAGAGTTAGCTCATTTCCTGCTAGGGTCACTTCTCCCATATCAGTAGCTCTTACCACAGATTGTTTTTGTTGTGGCTAAATATTGTTGCTCGGAGTCTATTCTATGTTGTTTTTCTTGAGAAATGTAGACCACTTAAGGTAACTTTGATCAACTTTTTGTTTTTAATTATATGGAAAAACTACCATGTGTTGATTTTATTGAATAAGTGAATGATGCTATAATCTTCAAATGTTTGCACGTCTATTGTGAATGAATGTATATTTCACTATTGTTGTTAAACTGATGGTAATTGCTAATAAAAGTTGAAGAACAAATATGGTCTGGAGATTTGAGCCATGATTGCGTGTGCACGCGCATGTAGTTAACAGCCTTTGACAAAAAAAGTTTTGCATAAGGAGGGAGATTTTCACATTTGACAGGCTCTCAGATAAGCTAGGAAAAATAGGTGCATTGACTTCTTGCAGATGTCATCATGGGCCTTTGGACCAGTTTTACTAAATGGTTTAATATGGTTAGATGTGCTTCTTGTGTGGACTACTGGCAGTGCCTTGAAACAGTAAAATTTATTTTTTCATTTAGAGAGAATCACAATATTGAATAAGTTTTCATTGTCAGGGTCGCATATTTGCTAAATTTAAAGAAACACATTGAATCACTCTGGGGGTGGGAGTTATTGGTGATTTTTGTGATAGAAGTGATGGTTTATCTTTATGGGAGGGACTATAATTTCAGCATTACTGTTAGAAGTGGAGGATTACTTAGAGGTAAATGACCATGTGAATTACACCCAATAGGAGTCAGCTCATTACAAAAAAAACATCTTGTTTAATTAGATTTACACAACCATGGCCAAAAGCCTACGCAAATTATCACAAAGAATACTTCTAAAGTAGGCATGATGAGCGGGCATGATGAGCGGGCATGATGGGCGGGCTTGGCCTAGTTTAAGAAAAACTGAATTTATGTAAACAGTTTGTGACCTGGATACAGTTTTTTTTCTTTTTTCTTTTTTTTTTTTTTAAAGGGAGTTTTTGCACTTTGTCTGCAGCATTCAGGTCAGCTTATTTGAACCAATTTTTAATAATAATAATAATAAGTTGTTCTGGCTCATTTTATTGGGGTTATTTTCTCAGTTCTTTGCATCAAACATTGACCAAAGGAGGAGCTTGGGCTTGCCTCATTACACTGGCGGTCACTTCTTCAGCTAGGCTTGCTCCATCCTTGTGTTTTAATTTAATGTGGTTATTCATAGACCCAGTGCCTGCACCATGTCTGCATGAAACATTGCTGTAGATACTGAACTAAATCTTTGTTTAGTCCAATACCTTTCCTTTAGAATCCCCAGAATCTCAAACTTTTGGAATATAGGAAACACTTTTTAAATGCCCATCTTTAGATAAAATCCATTAATGTTTCTTTTTATTTGTTTTACTTACAGGGTACAATAAAATTAATTAAATATTCATTTAAAATAATCTACAACAGTCATAACAATGAAGGGTTAATTTTCTTTTTTCGTTCCTTCCATGAATGCAACCAGACCCAATGAGTGTTGGGACCTGTGCTCTCACCCCCTCCACACCCCTTGGATCAGTGTTTCCCAACCCAGTCCTCTGGGAACCCTGGACAGTCCACATTTTTTCTTCCTCTCAGCTCCCAGCACACCTGTACCAGGTATTCGGTGTTCCTGATTGGCTGGGCGCTGGGAGGGAGCAAAAACGTGGACTGTCTGTGATTTTGTGTGTTTGGGGATTTTTTTTCTTCTTGTCTTGTTTACATTTTAGCTTCTGTAAAAATGTCAAGGCAGCTGTCAGATAGACGACCCTGGGTATTTTTAACCGTGGCATTGATGTATTCATGGTTTTTTTATTCAATAAACAACAAAATTGGAACACTTAATTAAATTAACTAATTTAACAGTTTCTGTGCTTCCATAATTAGCAGGGTTGAATAAAATCCTACACCCTTATTGATGTCATTCCAGCAGAATATCTCAGTGTAATGTTGAATCTGTACCAGCCATGATGGAAAGACTGTATCCGTCCTCCTGCAGTCTCACTCCTCCTGTGAGCTTACTTGTTCTTTTCTCATCTGCTGCAGGTCGTTCCCTGACATGGCCTTCAGCTCAGCCAAGTCGGGCCCCGTGAACGGCTGCATCATGAAAGCTCAGCTTCAGATCATCGGTGCGTTGGTGGTGGGGGTGGGGGGGGGGTCTGGGGGGTGTAATACATTGTCCAAGGTGCCAGAGTGACATTTCTCACATTGCTCACTTTTAGCACCACCCTCATAATTTCAGCCCTTTGGCTTAAGCGATAAGGAGCGGCAGGTCGCCCAGTGCGTAATGGTACGGCCTCGCACCCTCAGACTTGCCGAACCTGGTTCCACGAGGCCCTTTCACTTAGAAATGTTACTTGAATTGCTTCAGAATAATTTATGGTTCTGTAAAAGTTCTTACACTTATGTCATCTGTAAAGGTACATAGTAATAAAATAAACAGGCAGTCATTGAACTAATATGTCATCTTTCCCTTCTGAACAACCAGTGTTATCAGCAAAGCTAAAAGAAAACAAAAAGAACTGGTTTGGGCCCAGTCCATATGTGGAAGTTGCTGTCGACGGCCAGTCAAAGAAGACCGAGAAATGCAACAACACCAGCAGTCCGAAATGGAAGCAGCCTCTCACAGTGTGAGTACCATGGTCCTGCTCTTCTCTTACCAGACATGTTACTCTATGAGTTTCTTCTGAAGAACTGGCAAAGCTCTCCAGTTTTTCTCTCAAACTGTCCTGCATTATTAGTTAACAGCTGAAAGCCTGGTAATTGTTTCTTCCCACACAGAATTGTCACTCCATTCAGCAAATTAGTGTTCAGGGTTTGGAGTCACCAAACTCTGAAAGCAGATGTCTTGTTAGGAATGGCCACTTTAGAAGTCAGTGAGACCCTGAAATCAAACAACATGAAAAGTAAGTCGTCTTTTTTTGCCATCCAATTATTACATTATAGTTACGTTGTAATTATTATACTTACGACCGTTAATTGTGGTACATGGTTGTATACATTTTAATTCCATTAATCTTGTGATCAGCGTTTTGTTTTTGTCATGAATATAGGAATTCAATGTCTGTCTCTAAATCTTTTGAGTGATAGTTTTGTTGATTATGGGCCGCATCATGACTCATTCTTCTGTCACCACGACAACCATAAAGGAAACAAACAGGCTTACTTTATCAATACAAAGAGTCCATTCAGAATTTCACAACATGTCCCTTTGGCCATGTGACTCAAACCATGCAACCCTTCAGTCCAGCTTTAGAGCCCAGACAGTACCTCAAAGAGCTTAGAGAATGTTATTTTGTATAATTTCAGACAAACTGGCATTTCCTAACAGAAGCTTTTAAGCATTTATTTGAGTACATATTTGAACTTTTTACTAATCTTTAATTTATGTTTTTTCCAAATAAGATTTAAAAAAAAAAAAAAAAAAAAAACCTTAATCTTCTTGTACTGAATGTGAGAGTTTTGGTTTCTTTGCTTTCTTTCAGTCTCCGAGGTTGTGCAGACTTTACAGCTCAGCACAGACAAAGACCAGATAGACATTGTTGGGGACTTGTGCGTCTGCCTTGATGGAATGCAGGTCGATCCTGAAGTTTTTTCTTCTGTGGACACAAACGACATTGGTGAGTACATCATTCTTGCTTTCTGTAGGCAGGATTTAAATGGCCTGACACATCAGAATGCCATGGTATGGTTTTTTTGTTACATGCTTTAAAGTAACACCAGTTAATGATTGGACTAATCTTGCGCTTCTTTTAGTGATCATCTTAAGTTATTAGCATTGCCAGTTCATTCTCAATCTGTCCTTTTGTTGTACCATAACTGATCTAAATGTTTAATAAAACACTTTTTTCCACTGCAAGAATTAATATGGCTCAGCCATTGCATCAGTGTCCACAAAAAATACTTTTTTCCTCTCACCTCAGAATTGATCGTCCGGCTAAATTAGTCCAGATAAACGTGGCTGCTGGGGTGCACACAGGTCAGGCTCAGAAAGATGCAGCTATTTTCAGAGTGTTTGCAAAAAGCACGATATAGGAATGTTAGGGTGTAACACAGAAGCAGTGCCTAAATACAGTCATGAGAGAAATAACAACATAACCATATGTTCTCACATATGTTCTCACATGGTGGAGAAGGCCTCTTTACATTTATGCATCAGCATGAGGCACCAAGCCACAAGTATTAAAAAAAAAAAAAAAAAA